AAAGAACTGTTTCTGATGGCATGAAATGAACACTTTTAAAGTTTTTTTTTAAACACTTAGTACAGAATTTTATTTTAAGAACTATTAGTGAGAAACTGATGCAGGTAATTAAGTGTGAGACACTAATTCCTGGTCAACCATGGAAATTGGTTTCTTCTCCAGTCCCCCTAAGGGGAAATGAGCACCGAGTGTCCAACACAATGATCCTTAAATATACTTCTAAGCAAAACAAGGGCTTTGTTTACACGGTCTTTAGATTTTACTATTCTGAATTTTATTCCGAAACTCAAGTTTACCCCAAACCATCATTGACATAGTAGCTTCATCAAGCACAGTAGTATGCAAGTCTTCAAAGCAGCAGCACAGGCTGGAAGGCCCTTTGTACCCCCAGCTTGGGGGAAATACAATTGGCCACACCCACTCAGCAACAAATCTATGTCATGCTATTCGGGAACTGTCAGTCTAAGTCCTGACAAGAAGACACGGATTTCTATATATCTACACATCTCATCTTGATATCCTGAGGTTGCCAAAGGGACTCCTCACAGCTTAGCTTTGCCCGGCTGAAGCTGAAGGCTCTGCAGTTTCATGGCCAGGCCCATGTTACCAGTGATTTTCAGTTTACCTTGAAAGAAGGCCGACTGAGGGTTCATTTTACCAGTCATCAAAGCCAGCAGGTCTGAGTCGACCATGGTGATTGTGCAGTCAGCCTTCTTATCTGAATTGGGAAGCACCGATCCAGATAGCTTCTTTGCTCCCGGGGCCATCTTTCACTTTGAAGGCAAAAATGCCACCGATTTTCTTCACAAACTGTTCCCCTTCCTCTTCAAGCTTCTTCTCTATCTCCTTAAAGATAAGATCTGCCTTGAATCCATCCCATGCAGAGCTGGTGGGAGCAGCTGAAACCTGGTTCATTCTGAAGGAGCTGGTAGCTTCGGGAAAACCCATCCTGTAGAGAGTGACAACCACAGCTCCTCTGAGGCCTAAATTGTGCTGCAGAGCCACCTTTGCCCCGGGAACCTGCCTCTTTCCAGCTTCGCCTCTCAGATGCCAGACCTGTGGCGCCCAGTGGGTGTCCCTTTGAGATTAGGCCTCCACTAGGGTTTATGACCCACTTTCCTCCATAAGTGTTGTCCTCCAGGGCTCCACCTTGTCCTTCTGGACAGAGTCCCAGTGCTTCATAAGTCAGGAGTTCATTGGCAGAGAAGCAATCGTGAAGCTCTATCACGTCGACATCGCTAGGCCTCAGGTCGGACTTCTCATAGCACTTCCTGGCAGCTTCTTTACTCATATCATAGCCGACCAGTTTAATAATACTGTTTTCTTCAAATGTACTGGGCAAGTCGGTCATCATCTCCTGTACCACAATTTCCACAGCTTTGGACTGCAGGCCATACTTCTGCACAAACTCCTCACTAGACAGAACAGCTGCTGCAGTGCCATCTGAGGGGGGACAGCACTGTAAACAGTCAGAAAATTGAAAAATGGTTTTGATTTCATTATTTCATCTAAGCTGTATTCATCTTGGAACTAGGAATATGGGTTATTAACTGAGTGTTTATGATTTTTCCATCCAAATTTTGCAAAATGTTCAACTTTTGTTCCATATTTTTCCATATGTTCTTTCCCAGCAGACCCAAACAGCTGAGCAGCAACTGGATGGGCAGATAATCCATGCTTTTTGATCAAGATACCAAGATGTTTGTCAATTGGATGGGTCTGATCTGAATATTTTGTTCCAAGGGAACCCTCTCCATCTTCTCAAACCCAAGAGTCAACACACAATTTGCCACACCTCCTTGAATCAGTTGCTGGGGCATAAACAAAGCAGTCGAACCAGTAGAACAGTTATTGTTGACATTAATTACAGGAATGCCAGTCAGTCCCAAACTGTGATAGATAGACTTCTGCCCACAAGTGGAGTCACCGTACACATAGCCAATGCATGCCTGCTCCACTGCGGAGTAAGGGATCTGTGCGTCTGCCAATGCCTTCTGACCTGCTTCCTTTGCCAGATCAGGATAATCTCTTGAATTCTCACCTCCAGGCTTCATGAACTGTGTTTTGGTTTTTAAGAGACAGGGTTTCTCTGTATAGCCCGGGCTGTCCTGGAACTCATTCTGTAGATCAGGCTGGCCTCGAACTCAGAAATCCACCTGCCTCTGCCTACCAAGTGCTAGGATTAAAGGAGTGCACCCCCACTGCCCGGCTATAAAATGTCTTTTTTAGTATGTTCTAGAGCATATATCATGTAATTTTTAAACTAACAACAACAAAATACTATAGAACAACTAGAATGTTCAGCAGCTGAGGATTATCTAATTACTTTATGCTGTATACAAGTGATTAAAAAATATACATGTTTCAATCCTTGAGATCAATATTTACAAAGAACTGCTTATTATTAATTAGAAAATATCTATCATAATCATGGTGTAAATTGGTGTCATGGTGTACAATTTTAATTCTAAGACAGAAAAGAGTGAGGATCGATGACCATGAGTGTGAGGTCAGTCTGTGCTACACTGTAAGATACAAAAAGAATTTCAAAACAGCAACAACAAATAAACCAAAAACAAAACATGAGAACAAAAGAAAATCGAGCTCTGAGTCTGTAGTTCAGGGGAAGAGTGTTTGTTGAGCCTGCTTCTTGTCTGAGATTAAACTTCCCACACCACGAAAACATCACCAGTAAACCTACTCTATGTGGAAAGCCATTAGTGTTCACAGAAAATATCTTTGATTTAAAAACTAGAAGAGTATAAAGGAAGAATTTACCAGTGGAAATGTGAGTGCTTTAAAGGCATTCCTGAAACATATTTTAAGCTGCTATGAGCATAATTCAAAATCAAGGAGTAACTTAAAATAATAAGATAAGACAAAATTTCCAACACCATTATTTTAAAACTAGGAGCAGAGCAGTTACTGTCTTTCTTTTTCCCAGTTGTTTTGCTAAGGACACTGGTTTGGCTCTCTCTGCAGGAGTGTTCATCTCATCAGTCTTCAGATATCAATTAAGGACATTTCTTTTGCAGCATCTGGAACAATATGCTGTTTCTACCCTTTGCTCTCAAACTCAGCTTTCATTAAGCAATTTCCTCTTTTCACTTTGGTCAAGAGGAGGGGCAGCAAATTATAAGGTAAAATATCACTCAGAGGAAATTTAGTTCTGCCTTACCTCTTAGAGCTTCTTAGGGGACACAGACCAGAAAACACCAACTTTTCCTCCAATTGGGGGATCAATTCCCTCCAAGACAATCACCTTTGAGCAGAGACACAGGCAACAATAGTTGCTTTTATTTTTATGTTTTTTTTCAAATGATCAAGTATACTCTAGAGAACTTCACATGACATGAAAGAAGGATTGATGTGGAAGCCCTGCTAGTTGTGTCAGATTAGGTTAACTGAGGCAGCATGTGAAAACTGTCATTCTGTACTGATTATTTTCTTTTCAGAGTATGCTGGGTCTTGTATTGAGTGCTAAGAAATTAAGGTAGAGGTAGCTACAGAGTTCATTACTCTTTAACTTGATTAAATGCTTATATGTTATCCCCTGAAAGATGTCATTAGAAGCCACATAAGATGAGACAGTGTGCTAAGCTACTTGCTGCACAAACCTGAGTTTGATCCTTGGAACCCACATGAAGGTGGATTAAACGAACTCACTTTGTATAGTTGTCTTCTAGACAAATGTACCTTGCCTCAGCCAGCTCCACCTCAAGAGCAATAATAATATATAAAAATTATGCAAAAGTATTCCATAATGGAAGGATTCATTTTTTAAGAAATAAGCCAAAAGATGAATCACCTCAGGAAATTTCATAAATTAAAAAAATAGGTAAAAATGTTAACAATTTACAGCTTGTTGTCTTTATTATCTGCTGACACTCATCTTAGTTATTAAAATAAGGGTAATGTCAGTTAAAAATACATACTATTTAGTAATACATTGATATCTATCATCAGATTGAATCCTTCACGTACATTAGCTCATGTATACAGCATAGTGACAAAATTTATTTTCATATACCCTCCCCTTGCAACATCATGTATGAGTATATTACATGTGACTTGATTGTGTATATGAAATGATTTCTCATTAAAATTCATATTGTATACACTATGCCTCTCTCTGTTGCTCTTACACCCCACCCGGCAATGTCCCATTTCTACTTTCCTGGTTGCTGCAATTATTAAAGATTGTAAATTATTTCTGAAGACTTTGAGCCAGAAGTCTCAGATGAGAGATAATATTCAGCATTTGGTTTTCTGGTTCTTTTCTATTGCACTCAGGATCCTTTCTGGTTGAATCCACTGATCATGTCCATGCACAGAGAAGAATGTATAGACTATGGCTGGGTGGAGAGGTTGGACATCTCAGCTCATTGGGGCTTCAACCCAAGAGATAGTTATGTGTTTTGGATCACCTGCAGTACTAAACTTTAATAGACTTTTGAAGGTAGTATCTTAGAAACTCTGAGATTCATGTAAAAATAAAAAACTGAAAGAACTTTTAATGTTCATGTGTTTATCAAAATATGTAAATAATTTTAAAACAACATTTTTATTTATTTCTAAACCTTTGACTGTTAGTTACTTGAATTGCTTGTTCAAAAGTTTTTCAATGATATTCAGTGGTACCAATTTTACCTAACATTTTTATATGCTGAACATTTTGAATAAATATGCTGCATCAATATTATCATGACTTACTAGTAAATTTTTAATTCTTTCCAAATTTCCTAAAAAAATTCTGTGACCATTGGAAATATAAACAACTTTAACACAAATATGCAAAGGGTTCTCATCTGTAATGGAAATCCATTTCAGTCCATGTGAGGGTGTTTGGATCATTAAGTGAATTAGTCAGAACCTACCCTTTCTCAACCCTCTGTATCATCAGATACAGGTACCTTCCTATAGGTGGACATTTTACTTTTTTCTTTAGAAATCATTTGAGGACATATTTTAACAGAAAACATACTGGACATACTCCCAAGATGAGTGAGCAGGAGGTCACTTTCTCAACTGTGGGATTTCATAAGGGATCAGGGTTGAAGAAGCCAGTGAAGCTTGAGGAGACTCAAGGTCCCAGAGAAGCTGGTCACAGAGGTAAGTCTTTTAAGTGTCTAAAAATCACATTGTTTTTAAAGCCAATTTTTCTGAGTTCTTGTAAAATCAGTGCAGAAGCACCAACAGTCGCTCCTTCCACACTCAGAGACTCATGAAGACCCTATTTAAGGATATATAAATATGTATTAATAATCTTTTGTCAAAGGACTGTTATAGCGCTGCTGACAACTAATCAGACTATCAGCCATAGGCCTAAAATCAGCAATAGGCCTGTCATACATGTTTACTAACACCAAGTCGTGGGTCTCAGTGGAGTAACATTGAAACAGATGGCTATAAGCTAATGTCAATAGGCAGCTTTTGTGGAAATTTACAAGCCTGAGTAGTCATAGACCTTGTAAATAGGTATCCTTGGCAGATAATACCAACTTAGATAGGGACAAGCAAGTCATAGGCAGAGTCATAGCGACTTGTCCCCTGAACCTTCACCCAGCCGATACCTGGCTCTGAAAGATATCTGTATTCCCCCTGAACACCCACACTCCAGTGTCATTCCCTTCCCCACATCCTGCCTTTCTGTGTTTATAACCCCTGTGTGAATGAATTATGATTTGAGAAAAAATAATTAAAAAAAAGAAAGACGATGCAAAGAGAAAAAAATCATATTGTTTAATGCATTTTAACCTTTTAACAATGTAAAAATATCCTATTTACTTTTATTAAAATTGTCATGTTCCATTTCATCTGGGCTTGGTTATGCTTAAGGGGGAGAGGGAAAAATGTATTCATTGGAGGGTAATCATGTACAAAATTTTTCAAAATTTGGTCTAAATAATAAAGCAATCAAAATTTAAAATTAAAAAATATAAAGAAATAATATAACACTACTTCTACTTTTTAGCTGCTATCTGGAAACAAAAGAAAACATATAGGGAGATTAGAACAATGGAGATCTGTAAGGAAAAAATTTTCTTGAGAATCAAAAAGAAATGAAAACCATTAGGAGTTTTTATTAGTAGTAGTAGTGGTATTAAGTCTAGTCAAGAAGAATTTTGAAAATTTTAAAACTGACAATCAAATTAAGGTCTGAAAATACATGAAATATTCTAGAGACCCAGATCCAACTGAAAAGATACTTCTTTAGTAGAAACAATACTTCCACTTTTGAAGAAAGTATTTATATGCTCCAAATCTAAATCAACAAGGCAACAATGATTGTCCATCAGAAGAGGAAGTTTCCTCCTGAGAATAAAGTTGGAAAGCAAGGAAGAGGATAGTGAAAGCATAGTGGGGGTGGGAATAAGTAAACCCCTGTGTAAGTTCCAGAAAATGTCAAAGAACAATGTTCTTTATTAATGAAAAAGATGAAATCTCACTTTTCCTTTTCTTTTTTTTTTAGTTTGTACATACTGTCTCAGCTGTGCTCCAGGATGAGAACTATTTGTTCTTTTATTTAGTGGAAACCAGAGGCTTGGGATTCAGATTCCAAATGCCTTATACACAAAAATGTTTACTATTATATAGAGCAAAATAAAAATTACAGAGAAGAAGAGATAGTTGACTTATAGGCCCTTTTAAGAATGGGGATTTATACAGACCAAGACCATAACAGGTTTGGTTCCTTAGCATTTCTCATGAATATCCATCCCACTTTTCTTCCTCTCCAGCCTCAGTTATTTATCTTGTTGGACTGCATGCTCCTGTTTGATATATTGTACTTAGATTTTATCTACGCCTCCAGTGCTTTCTGTAGAATGTACTTTAGTTTCTGTAGAACTAGGTGAGGGCACGTACCTGTCATGCAGCTCTTTCTAGGCTGAGTCAGGAGGATTCACAATACAAGGTCAAGGCCAAAATAAATTCAAAATTTTGTGAAATTTTGTGAAAGTTCACACATATCAGAATATTACAGTGGGCGCATTTTTGTAGAAAACTATATCACATTTTCAGTAAGTTTGTATCATCAAATTTTCCAAAATTTTCCCGTGTTTCCATGCTACACAAAATTATTATTAATATTGAGATGTGATATTTCCATGGTGGTGACTTTTGTTTTTTGTTTTGTTGATTTAGAATATTCAGTATCCAGGCACCTCATAGTGATAGCTCTTGGAATCCTCTGTACCCTTCGGCTGATATTTTTTGCAGTGTTGGTGACAAACTGTGAGTAATTGAGATACATCTTTCATCAGCTGCCTAAAGAATAGCTTTAGACATGAACTATGGTGCTGCCCACACTGTTCATTGCACTGCCTATTATCAGGGGATGAGACAGAATTATTGGACTTTAATGTTTTTTTTTTTTCTGTCACACTGTAGTATCTTGTTCTCTTACATACCTATTCTGTCTTTTCTGGGACTGTGGGAGCTACCATTTTCTGTCTCATTTTTGGTCATGTTCCTTCTGTGGACTTGGTAATAATCTGTCTTCAGAGCTTAGGGGATTTTTTAAACATTGTGTGATAAAGTGCTGTGCAAAAATTGATGACATTCTTTCCTTGTTCTTCAATGTATATTGAGGTCATGATTAAGTAAAAAGACGTAATCTGTAGAGATATTACATGTTAAACTTTATGGGATCCCTTCACATTTACAGAGAAAAATCACTTCCTAGATATGATAAAACATAGCTATGTTTCATTCTACATGCTAATAACTATTGTCTCATTTCTTGAAGTTTATTTTAGTTCAATCTTTTTGGTGTATTAAGTATTGGCTGAATATTTTACTTAGTATTTATTTGTAAATTTGAGCTGTAAAAGAATAAAGTACCTGTAAGTTACTTCCACCATAATTTATTAAGCTGCATTTTTTATTTTACAGTCAATTTACCTATAGAGAAAAATTGATGTATCTGTTTCTATAGTGAGATAATTGAAGTACTAATTTATAAATGTTAAGTAACAATGAAAATAATGGTATGTGTTAGCTGTCAACATGAAGCCTTTTCTTTAATCTTAAATTTCAATACGTACTTCTTATAAGAAGTTTTGATATTATATCTGTGACTAATTTAGTTTTTCAGTATCGTCATGAAAAACATGAGCTGCAGGAAACTCTAAACTGCCACCATAACTGCAGCACCATGCAATATGTCACTGACTTAAGGGAAGAACTGCTGAGAAATAAGTCTATACAGTGTGGTCCAGGAAATGATCTTCTGGAATCCCTCAACAGAGCACATAACACATGGTACAGTGAAACCAAGACTGCTTCAGCTTCCCATCAGCACACAGGTAAGTAGCAGGGGATGATCATGAATACAGAATTGGATTATCATCTATTGTTTCTTTTATGGAAGCTTTGAAGTCCAAGCTGCAGCTTAAGATGCTGGTGATCTCTGGGTCAATCATTAGGGATTCCTTATTTCATGTAGGAGCCTGGAAACCCAGAAATCCCTGTTTGGGTTAGGACAATCATAGTTTCCAGAAGTCAGTGTCTGTTTGGTACTCCTACTACTCCCTGGGCATGGAATTACAAATCAGTATTCCTGAGAATTTTGTTTGGATCTACGGGAAAATCTGACTCTGTAACCTTGTTTTTGACAAAACATGGAAGTTCTTAGTAAGAGTGTATTTATTTACTATTTTTGCTAAAATACTTAGAATATTTATATGGATGTACTTATAAAAACAATGATGTATAAGTATGTTTGTGGGTGCGTGTTTTTTTTTCCATCTGACTTGTTTTGAGAGATTTGGTCTCTTTGTAATGAAGAGATCCTCCCTGGATCAGTCAAAGGAGGTTCTCCATGGTGTGCACACATTGCTACTCTGTCTGTGACACAGGAATGAGACAGATGAAAATATCAAGTGTCACAAGCAACATTTCTTGCTCTTTATTGTGAGTAGTCATCTTTAACTGACAGAGTTTATCTCTCAACATTAAATATTTATTTTGGGGGATTTAGAGTTTATGAAGAGCTCTTGTATATAATCTCATGATGCTGTAATAGTAGGATGTGATGATTCTCGTTATGTAAGGACTAATATTTTTAAAAATGCTACATTATAAAATCTGTGCAGGAATAAAAAAGATCCAAAAATATTGTTGAAGTATTCCACACCCTTGAAAAAGGTTTTGTGTCATTACTTTAACATAACTTAATTATTTGTGAAGGGTAGCATAATGATGTAATCCCTATGATTATGAGGTTGAGAGAAGAGGATTATATCTATCAGGACAATATGGACATTCCAACAAATTCCAGGCCAGCATGAGCTAAACAATGATAATCCTTCACAGAGAAATGTAGGTTGGAGAAAATGTTGTTAATAGAGCATGGTCATTCCCTGTGTCACACTAAGCACAATATTCATATTGAGAAGATCTTGCAACACAAACTGCACAAATGTTAATGTATTCAGCTTGAATTATTTGGGGTTGTGGGCACACCACTGAAGGAATCGACAAACTCAGGACATCAACATCAAAACTTCTCTCTCATATGCCTCTTATTTCTCTTACGGTAACAAAGTTTAACACAGATCATGGCACAATAAGAAGTGCACAGTAGTGTGTGGACCATTGTGGGCACAATGCATTACGGCAAATCTACAATTATGTCATCAGTTTAACTGCCTCTGAGTAGCAAGTGCTCATTTCCTGCCCTCCAGCCCCTGATACTTCACAAGTGTCTCCATCATAGAACTAGGCAGAATTTTAGAAACCTAATCTGAATGAAATCATAAAGCATGGTCCTAGGCCTGGTATATTTCACTTTGCACACTATCCACAAATTCATCCATGTTTGTTATACAGGTCAGCATCTCTTTTTTGAGATTCATGTGAGACATGATAACATTGGGTAGCCCAGGGTGACTTGGAACTCATAGTATAGCCAAGGCTGGCCTGGAAGTCTTTACTTACCCTAGGATGACCCCAAACTTGTAGTTATCTTCCTGTCTTTCTCTTTGGAGTGCTTAGATTATAGGTGAAAGTCATCATGCCCAGCTGATTCATTTTCCTGTAAGGACAAATAGTATTCTTTTGTGTGTGTGTGCTACATTGATTCATCCATGACTCACGCAGGAAACATTTCTATATCTCTAGTGTTATTAACAATGTTGCATGGCTCATAGGTGTTTTTAGGGGTCTCTGGGCATTATACAATCTCATTTTCTGAGATCTTTGAGATATTTACCCACCTCCCATCTGTCTCTCTCTTTCTCTCTCTCAACACATCCTTAATTTATAACGTGTTCTGATAACAGAGTACTAGTAAATAGTAAATTTAATGATATATCTTCTCTGTTGTAGGCAAAAATGAAACATACTGGTTCTGCTATGGAATAAAATGTTATAGTTTCATCATGGACAAAAAAACATGGCGTGGATGTAAAGAGACCTGCCAGAATTACAGATTATCCCTTCTGAAGATAGATGATGAAGATGAACTGGTACTGTAGACAAATTGCTTCTTTATTCTCACAGACTCTGTCTCTAACTCTGAATAAAGGGATACTAAATCAAGGTATTTATTTCATTTGTATATGGTTTTCCTGTAACGTGAAGGAAACTGTGGGACACAGGTCTGCTAAGAGGAGACTCAGTACTTCAGAGAGACTTGTATCTTTCAGTCTCTCCTCTCTCTCTCTCTCTCTCTCTCTCTCTCTCTCTCTC